TGGAGGATCTTTGATTAAAAAAAGATGGATTGTGTCTGCAGCTCACTGCAACTTCTTGTGAGTAGGCTATGTAATGTAACCTACCTTTTAACCTGTATTTTTTTAAACATGTTAAAGCTACTTTACCATCAAACTACCTTTTCCCTAAAGACCCTTTTAAGAAATCGATTAACAACAGGTTGTTTTTGTTTACCATTTCCGAATGTGTACTAAAAAAAAAGCTAAAAAAAAATCCAAATCTCTAAAGAAAAAGAAAGGCTGTCAAAAAAGTTACTCATTATAATAAAGATGAGAGTGTGTTAGTCTACCAACCATTGGCATTCAGCTCAAATTTTGAAACAAATTTACATTTGTGTACAGTATTTAAATATGCAGATTTTCTGCTTCAATAAATAATCACACTTTTTTAATTATTATTTTTCAGCTTTCTAATGCAGGATTTTTATTGTCTGTAATTGTCTTGCCATAAAACCTATATTATATATTGTGACTGAAAAACCTATTTAAGACTATAAACAGACCTAATATGTAGGCAATATTCTAATAAACATTATATTATAGGCTGAGTAAAATTTGAGTTTCTTTTTTCAAATAGACTCCAACTCGTTGTCCACCTGGGAAAGCACAACTTGGCTGTTACTGAAAACACAGAGCAGCTGATCAACGCAGAGAAGGTGATTCGTCACCCAGGCTTTAATGGTCAGACTCCTAACAATGACATCATGCTGATCAAGCTGAGAAAGCCCGCCCTCTTCAACAAGTATGTGAAGCCGATCCGTCTGGCAACCAAGTGCTCTTCTGCAAGGGAACAGTGCTTGGTTTCTGGATGGGGCAAAACTGGAGGTGAGATGGCTGAGTAATGAAAATCTTCTTATACTTTTATATAATATATTAAACGTGCATTCAGTCATTACACAAGTTTTAGCACTGTTCATATTCTTTTTCCAGAGCACACTTCTGCCCTGCAGTGTTTGAATCTGCCTGTACTCTCAAATGAGCAGTGTAAGGGAGCATATGGTCCAAAAATAACTAGAAACATGTTCTGCGCCGGATTCATGGAGGGAGGCAAAGACTCGTGTCAGGTATGTCATTGACTTTGTCTTCTTCTTTATATGTGTTTGAAATTTTTTATTCAAACCATAATTTGGTCCTTTTCATTTTCCAATTTTCTTCTCAGGGGGATTCTGGTGGCCCTCTAGTGTGCAAGGGGAAACTGAAAGGTATTGTTTCCTGGGGTGATGGCTGTGCTCAACCAGGCCTTCCTGGGGTATATACTGAGTTGTGTCGCTACACTGACTGGATCAAATCCGTCATAGCTAATAACTAGCTATTTGTTTAACCTGGTCGGCCCTGTACAAGTAAATTTTCCTAATTAAATTCAGTTTGAAACGTGTATGTGTTTCTATCTTTTATTTTTATATGGCTATTGTTTTTAAGCATTTTTTAATCATGGTTGCTCCCCACCCCTGTGCTGCTACTGCTAAAATTAAGTAGGAGAGCGCGGCGCCGGGGCACAATTAACACGGGGTTAGTAACACGGATCTTTTTACATATTAGTCAGGATCAAGCAGGTTGTCTTTGTGCTCTTTTTCTCTCGCTGCCTGAAGACTTGGGAAGTTTTGATTAGATTTCATGAAGATACTGGACAAAGAGTGTTTTGACACCATGCAAGTACATTTTTTCATCATAGGTTTGTTTTCGGTTTCTGAGTTGGGTGTCTATGTCACCAAATCTAACTTTATATTACCAGTGTCTTGTTGGCTAAAACATAGCACCATTTTGAAACATGTTAGCTAGGCTTAAAATATATTTTACACAACGGGGTTAGTTGTTGCAGAGTATTACAAGTCGCCAAGTGATATTCAAATGAAAACGGAGCCACACAACTTTTCAGGTTTGAGTATTTATTTATATATTTAACTTTGTTGGACTTTCACAAACATTGTTCGAATTTACTTTTTTTTTTTTTTTTTGCTATGCATTGATCACTTGTTTCTTTATTAAAAATATAGCATGTTTTTTAATGCAACAAACTCTTAGAAATATTATTTTAAGCTTTTTCTTTATTATAATTACTGTTAATATTATAAATAATAATAATTTTACACACAGCTGCCACAGACAATTCAATTGCACACATTTTATTCAATTGCAATTACAATATTTGATGATTTTATTTATTTATTTTTTTGCTTGCTAAACTGTGCAGCCCTTTCATATTTTGATCCATGATATTGATCCATAATGATTGGATGAGGGATGGATATCTATCAGAGATTCACAAACAATATCAAACTACACAGGTAAAATAGTACTTACTAAATAGTTACACACAAGTGTTACAACAAACCCCCATCTGCTCTTCTGTCACTTTCAGTGCAACTGTACGAAAATGGTAGGTCCTAGAAAAAAAACTTTAAAGGTCCATTGCGCAACATTTCATGTTAAAAATAGCCGTTTTCTAACCCATACATGCTTAAACAATCGCCTGATGGGCTGAATGAGCCCTTCTCTGATCACTGCGATCGCCTCTATAATCCTGTACAGTGAAATAAATAAGAGGGATTCGGGCTCGAATTTGAGACTGGATGTGAAGTCATGCACGTTCATGCTCTCCTGGCTATGACTGGCAGGTTTGTGTATTCACCGCCATTCTCTGTATCAGAGAAGACAACTCGAACTTTAGTCAACTTTCCACAAAAGTAGACGATGGATTCAAAGGGGCTGTTTACACCTGGTCACTTCATGCGTTTTCTGTGATCGGATAGCTATTCGATCGTGAAAAGACCAGGTTGCCCTCCGAAACGCATTCGAGACGGATTTGAATCCGATCGCTCAAACCACTTGAGGACGTGGTCTGGGCCGCATTCCAGACGAAACTGGACAAGTGTGTATGCATCTGGTTGTTGAAACCAGGCTATATGTCATCATGTTATTTTAGTCATATATGACAATGCGCATCACCTCAGATGAGCAGCTGAGCGCCTATTCATCAAGCCAGCGCGCCACAATATATCGCAAATCAAAGTGAAAGTAAGTCGCTGACGTTTAACACTACCATCTTCATTAAAAGTAAAGAAACGAAATGATCTTACCAAGGCTGTTGCCACTCTCTCTTATTACTGTCTTTGCTGATTTTGAAATTAGTCGATGATCAATAAAATGCAGCTCATATCTGTTGCTTTCGGTGACGTGCACTTCATTAAATCTGTATATAGCGCGGAAATTGAAGATCGGATCAATTTCCGTTTTGCAAAAACACATTTATGTGAGCAGGTGGAATCGTAAATGGAATCGTTTACCACACACACGCAACAAATTCAGAGATCTCCGGTCTGCTCTAGGGCTCAAACTATACAATATACAGTATACTATACTGTATACTATACAATATACAGTTAGTATAGACCCCTTTTGCGCCGACGTCACAGTTACGTCATGGCGCTACCTGGAGGCAAAACAAAGTGAAAACTGGAGGCGGTCCATGCAAAACAGCACAGATTCAGCTACATTATAAGGAGCTTAAATAATTGTTACTATTATTAAATGTCATCTTGTTGTGTTGTTTGGTGCAAGAATTGATGAAAAATGAATATGCTGTATCTGGAACTTTTATTTCTAGAAAATATTCACATCATTAAAATCGCACTGTAATGTCACTATTTACATTGTCGTGGTCTCGGCGCTGGCTCGGCAGAACTGCGGATCGTACATCTTCCGCAGGATCGAAGTCTTCTACAGGACCATGTAGGCATCTAAAAATTTATATGCCCTCAGTTTCTCTTTACGATCGGTTTCTCTATAAGGTAGGTGTAGAAGTCAGGCCACTCAACTGAGGTAACTTACGTTAATCCTGTCAGATCCTCCATGCATTGAGTGAGCATGTAGGCGGCTACGGGTCGGCCAATCTGGTTCGGTCCGTTAAAAATAACTTTTGGAAATAAAAATCGCGGTCCTGGACACTGAGTGACCTTACACATTAAGATAATATCGGATTTTCTCCAGTCATTGTTAAAAAACAAGCTAACAATCCTAGCTAACCAGCGTTCCAGATGGATCTTTCTGCCTCCACCTAAGCTCCGCCCACGAAAAAACGTCACTATGTTTACCAACTGTAAAAGGGTCTATACAAACTAACTTTGTATATTACTATACAAAGTAATAACTTATATTGTTCATGAACGTGTTTCCATAATAATACAATCATAAGTGGATACAGTAAGCACATAAGACAGTTCAACATGAAGATTTTTCTACTACCCCTATTTTCCCCTCACACACACATAAGTGTGTAATTTAGCCTACTCAAATGCCTTTCCTTTCATATATTTTAAATAACTTTTATAACTGCAGATTTATGTTAACTGTATTACCTCATTATGACTGTAACAAAAGATGTGTGCTGCACAGTGTGCGGCTGATGCTCCTTTGGTTATGAACAGCTCGTGCAAACGTGCGTGTGTGTGTGTGTTCCATGAGCGCGCACACCTCTAGTTGCAGTTTCGCTTTGTCGCCAGAGGAGGTTCTGCAAAAACTCAGATACTTGCGTTTTGCACCTTTAAGTGTTTATTTGTAGCAGAGATGTGTATGTTGCCTGTGTAAAAAAAATGAATCTAACTTAATTTTTTTTTTTTTTAATAATTGAGCCAAAACCAAAATGTTTTAGGTTGTGCAGCGCTCTCCCCAACCCCATTATGTACAAACTCTGTTTTTAGTTTTGAGTTGAGACACCTGTCTAGTTTCATTTCCTATTTTTGTTATTTATACACACACTCGCACACACTCAAAGTCAAAGAAACCAAAGTTTTCCATTGGTTTCGTACAGTACATTCTGTTCAAATGTTAGTAGTTAAATTCGGTTAGATGGGAGCCTAACATGTTTAGTTTAATATATATAGTTTAAAATTTCCAGCACGTAACAACAAAGGCAGTCAGCTACTGCACGAGTCTTGTCTCTTCACATTCTGGATGTCAGTGATGAAATTTCAGTTGTGGTGATCAGTTGTGGCTTTGAGATTTTGGACAGCTGACGTTTTGACGTTTCGAACAGCTAACCAATGGGGGAGAACAGTTGCTATGGTGCTGTTCGGGAGCGGATAAAAGAAGCCGGTGTGGTGAAGTGTTTTTTAAGGCCGCGAAATTTAAAAATATTTCTGTTATTGTGTCACGAAATCTAGTTTTAAGAGTTTTTCATCTGTGGTTTATTTATGAAGATAGTGCCTATTTAAAAATATGATCTGATGTTTTCAGAGTTCCAGGTGATCACCTGGCGCTCAGCGCTCATGTACCCCACCTGAAACAGCCTTACCTCGGCTAGTCATTCTGACATTTCCCGTGGGCTCTGTGTCTAGAGGTTAAACATGAGCTATAAATTGGCTTGTGCATATCTAACGGGCGATCTTTGGTCTAAATTGTGATTGAGGTAAACCTCAACCTAGAGGTCTTCACAGTGCACCCGAGACCCGTCGGCCCCGGACCCGACCCGGGACCCGTACGGGTTGGGGTTTATATTTTAAATGAGCAGCCAGATCCGGGTCGGGTCCGAATCTATTACTTCGGGTCCCGGGTCTGTTTAACATTGTGTGTAATACCAACGCATTTTCATCCTTTAGCGTCATATAGGACGCGCTGTATAACAAAACGGCGAAATACTACTCACATGGCACCCGTTATCGTTAATATAACACGCGCTGAGAACCCGTGCGATTGGAGTGCAATCTCAAGCGCGTGTCATGTTTCTATGGCAACCAGAGCAGAGCTTCTGCCAATTTCCGTGCTTTGCATTTCCGCGCTTTGCATTTTCTCCAATGTTTATAATAATATAAATGAACCGTCTTGTTTAATCTTAAAGTTTTGGTGGTCAGATTCAGACTCAATGAAGAGCAGAGAGCACAGATATGATCAAGCTGAACAAGCAATCGTTATTATAGTTCAAAAGGGCAAACAGTTAAAGTTATTATGCGAGTTAACTCGAGTCAGAATGTGCATGTGCAAGGCTGCATTTGTCATCCATCACCGTGACATAAGCTTGGAAAAACGAGAGAAATAACATGGATAGAACTTTCTTGTCGGTGGATTGTAATGCATCACAGTCAGTCAGATAACGTCAGGAAGTGAGACGACGACTACTAAAATTAGGTAAGACAAAAAGTTTTATTTTTCGCAACTCGTGTGAAATAATATGTGACAAGAATCGGGTCCAGTCGGGTTTGTGTCTTCCTGCCGGGTTCGGGTCCAGTTTTCAAATAATAGACGGGTCCAGGTCGGGTCCGGGCAGTACATTTATGGCATTTCTCGGGTCTGCACGGGTCCGGGTCCAACTTTTGAAATGAACGACGGGTCCGGGTCGGTTCGGTGTAGCACATTACGGGTCTCTTCCGGGTCGGGCATGAATTTTTGGACCCGTGAAGACCTCTAACCAAATTAGTCAAATTTACGGTATTTGCTCCCCTGATCAGAAGTGACGTAAATTGTGACATGTGCAAAACTGTCCCAATTCTGCTCTTCACAGCTTCAGGCCCTTGCACACTTACGCCGCTTGTGCACTTTCAACTGTCCACTTCGAGGAACACCTTAGGGCGTAGTGTGGATATTGGGACAGGGCCTTCTTTGTGATCTTCACCTGTGTCTTGTTTAGTTCTCATCATTATCTTGTTTATTTATAGCCTTCTCTTTCTCTTTTGTGTTTTTTCCGATCTTGTCTTGACTAAGTGATTTTAAACTGTTTATTGTTTCTTTGTATGGTGTTTTCACCTATGTTTATGGATATTTACACCTTGTTTATTTGAATAAAAGATAAAAATAGATTCATGCCTTTCCAACTCTCCTTCCAGCAGACATTACAGTTATATATTTGAGTACATAACCTACAAACCTACACACTTATAAACAATATAAAACAAGTAGATGGAAAATAAAAAAAATCTGATCATGGTCCCAGCTATCGTAACGTTAAAACGTTAAAATAAAATAAAAAAATACAACGTCAACACAATAAGTACATTGTACCTATGATTCTTTTATGCAAGTAGCTAAAGACACCTAAAATAAAGTATGACAAAGATCACTTTTGGGATTCTATATAGTGACATGCAGAGAGACATCTTAGGAGAGAGAACAGGTTGACCACTGTTTCTGTATGGCAGGACTAGGCTACTGATACAATGTCTCTTTATTCTATTATGTTAAATTACAGAGTTTTACCGTTGATCCATTGTAGAGCCTAAATCCAGCATAGAGAGGATGAGTGAATGTGGCCTGAACTCTGCAGATAAGGGTCATTGTGTCAGAGACGCCATAGAAGGACAGAGTCCCTGCACTGTAATCCACATACACTCCTATTCTAGAGCAGATGGAGGCTGCAGGGATGTCAGTCTCCAAATCATTGTGCCTTAATGAGTATTTGAAGGGAGAGCAGAACAAACTCCAGGAAATATCATTATATCCAAACAAACACTTAGTATTTGTTCCCTTCCGGCTGATGTGCTTATATGATACTGATATACCCACATCACCATTCCACTCCAGCTCCCAGTAACAACGTTCAGACACTCTCTCTCCACACATCACCTGATAATAAACATCAAATTTGTATGGATGATCAGGTGACCACTGGACTGTGTCAGTGTAAGTAGCCACTCTGTTCCTCTCTGACAGACGAATGTGTTTATTCGCTGTGTTTGGATCAAGTGTGAATTGATGGGCACCTGATGAAGATAAAATGTATTAATGATCAGTCAACGTGTAAATTTTGATGTGTTTTAAAAATAATCTTTGAATTGACTTGAAATGTTTATATGATGAACATCTGACAAATGTAACATTATATAGTGGCCCACATGATCATGAATTGGGGCCAATAAGCACTGAAGGTGTGTTCTTATTATTTGTCCTTCTTCTTTTACTTTTGGAAGCCCATAGGACCGCATTTGGGAAATTTATCATAGATAGAGGACAGTCTGAACATTACCTGCAGATATTTTGGAGTCTCTAACTCAATCCCTTCTAGCACCACCAACTGTCCAAAGTTGTATTCATGTTTATGTCCCTGAATGCACTCATGTTTATGCTTTTGAATCACAAGGCCTATAAAAAAAAAATGTTTTCCCCTATCTTTCCTTGGCTAAAAATTGTGCCCCATATGATGCCATTTTTGTCATGAAAATCCTTCAGCCGCTCAAACCCATCCTAGACAGTTCATCAGATTTTTAAAAATTTGTTCAGATCATCTTCAGATTGTGAAGGCAAAAAGTAATTTAACGCATCAAAGTATTTGACAAAGTACTCCAAAATGGACATGAGGCTGTATGTCCACAACAATTTTTGCATATTAAGACGAAAGTACTTGTCATCTCAAGCCTAACTTGAGGGTACATGCACAATTTCGGCACAATGCCACCTAGTGGTCAGGAGATATGAAAAAAATAACTTTTTTTGATTAAATATTTTGATCTGTCCAAAAATCCTAAAACTGGTCTCTTGTGATTCAGTGCAGCATACTGAATGGATATCAAATAATATCCAATGTTTCTATACCAGCCATTTTTGGCATCTGCCATTTTGTAATAAAAGGCTTTTCACTCAGTGAGTTTATCGGTGAGTTTCTCATCTTTGTCTGCTTACTACCGCAATCAGATGTGACAGAACACCAAAACAAGATGGTATTTTTTCCTCCACCCTGTCACCATGGACCTTCCTGCTATTCTTTTGTTATGCCTGGACACGAGGGGCAGTGGTTCTTGTAACAATTTTGCCGCTTACGTGGAGTGGATGCTGGTGAACAAAAATTTTGCATTCATCAGCCGCGGAAGACTACTCCAGACCCAGACTCCAGCCATTCACCGCTCCATGGATGATTCGCTAGAGCCCGCTGCAGACTGTGAAATTCAGCATGTCGCGATGTACAAGCCTGAGCTTGTAATGAGGGTGGAACAAGACATCAGCCCTGGAGCCAAACACACAGAGTCTGACTAGGGAAGCCCAGCCACTGTGGATGAGTATAGACTGGCCTCTGGACACTGTTTGGAACTTTTTGAGGAGGTAATTCCCCAGGCTGCATCCAAAATTGCTTACTTTCTCTAGTAGGTACTTATCTTGAATAAATAATTACTTAATAACTGTTAACAAAAGTATGTTCTGTATGAGTGTGTGTAAAATGAATGTAATCTGGACGTACTACATTCGTCAAGTTGACAATGTCATTATCATGTGACAGTTACATCACTTTACTGCCTTTCAAAAATCCTCTCCCGTGGCCTCATGGGATTGTAATGTGTCCATCGCATGCACGTTTCAGAATCTCGCCAAAAGAAATACGTTATCCGGGTACTTTTTGCATTCTCTTTTATGAGTACTGTGAATTCGGACTTATTTATATACTTATTTTGTCCCATACTGTTTTTCACCTACTATATAGTAGAGAAGAAAGCCATTTTGGATGCTTCCAGTCTTTCCCGTCCTTGCTGGTCCCGACCAGCCTATACTTTCCTGTTTCCAAGCTGCTCCTACCCAGCCAACAGTGTCCTGAGTGCCTGCCCAGCCTCCCTCTCTCACCCAAATCAGCCAGTTCCACAGCCCTGCCTCGGCTGGTTCCTTTCAGCCCCTCTCCATCTCTTCCTACAGATCTCTGCGAGGATCTGCCTCAGATCTTCAGGTTACGAACCCTTGTAACGCTCCTATTCTGAACTGTTGACCTATCTGAACTGTTGACCTCGTCCCTGCAGCTCCATCAGGCTCCCTGATCCCTACCGATTCCACCTTGGTCGAACTTCGTCATGCCTCCATTTGGTCGAACTCCATCTGGCTCCGCCTTGATCCTCGGTTCCACCGGCTTTGCCTCTGTCCTCTGGTTCCCTGGCTCGGCCTTGGACGTTTGTCGTCATGGCTCCGCCTCAGTCTCCAGAGTCATCAATGTCGCGTTGGCTCTTGGAATTCTCCTTCTCCAGAACTCCTTCTCAGATGGCTCCATCTCTGTCCATCGTCCCCCTGACGATGAGTAATTTCGGAAACAACTAAAAACTGTCACTTTGACTACGCGTTTGCCCACATACGCATTCTTCTACAGGGCACTCACACAAAACGTGCATGCCTGTAGACTAAAAACGTAATACGCATGTGTTTGCCGTCCCCGTTTTGCGTTTTTGTACTTAAGACAGAGATGATAACGGTATTGTTTTGAAAAATGTGCACTCTGAGACCCATTTTCAAAAGTTTGCGTTTTTAGGCCACCAATACGCCGCTGCCATGTAAATGAATGGCCAAACCACATAAAAGCTTTTCCATTTTTGGTTCAAAATGATGTAAACAGCCCCTTATTCAGTGTAGTTTTTTTATGATTGTGTCTGCGCATGTCCCTGGACCTTATGTAGAATAAAACAGCATTTTTATGTAGTTGTTTCTAAATAAACAACATTTTTATTGTGTGTTGTGGAGAAATTTTTCAAATTATGTATACATGCATGCTCAGTGTATGTACATTTTACTTGTTTTCTTTGCAACTTACTTTGTAGGAAGTCCTCTCTGGTCCTTAGAACAATGTTGATGTGTTTAACTATGAAAATCAACATAAATATGCAATTCTTAAGGAAAGAGGAAATTTTCTTCTGTACAGTATCCAATGTGTGATGTAGGCTATTATAAGATTTTCAAATGAGACTATGTAATTGAATGTGCTTTACCTACCAGAAATCTTTTGAATCTCCTCTTTACAGAAATTCTCAATTTTCTCGCTCAGCTGACAGATAGTTTGTCTTATATCATTAGACAGAGGTGAAGTGACAGTTATTCTCTCTGTAGGTTCAATAGGTACAGATAGATACTGAAACTCCTACAAAAAAGACAGGAAGAAAACGTTATAACCTGCCTCCAACAAATCTCTACTACAGTCAAATACATGCCTTTGCTGTCTTACCTTGAGTGACTTGCCTTCAGCAAACTAATCTAGCACTTTGAATTACACTTTATTTCACTAGAGAGCCAATAAATGATGGACAATCACAATAATAAAATTATTTTCTACATTTCTATTACCTGAAGGAATTGGATGTGATCGTCTGTGTGTGAAAGTTGCTCTAACTCAGCACGTCTCTTCCTCATATCAGCAATCTCCTGCTCCATTCGCTGCAAGAGTCCTTCAGCTTGACTAACTGCAGACTTTTCCTGGTCTCTGATCAGCCTTGTCAACTCAGAGCGTTTTTTCTTAATAGAGCGGATTAGCTCATTAAAGATCCTCTCGATGTCCTTCACTGCTGCCTGTGCAGAGTGCTGTTAGGACACATATTACAATCATGATGTGATCCACAGTGGGCTTCAGTGGGACTGCAATGTCTTCAGATCTGAAGGAGAGTCTAAACAATACGTCTTTTAATCCAGCAGTGCTGTTTGTCTCCTCACAATACTCACCTTATGACACGCAACAGCCTCTCTCAGCTCCTGAATGTCTTTTTCTCGCTCCTGGATTCTCTCCTGGTATGTCATCTGTGTTTTTTTCAAGTTTCTCTAATGAAAACAGAAAACATGAAAATATTTCATAAAAATAAATACAAAATCATCATGTAAAATGTTGTATGAATATTATATTGGTGTTTTTGAGAAAAATACCATGTGGATATTGCAAAATTCAATTGCAATTCTTGCAGATTGCAAAAAGCTGTCTGTGAGCAGTGACTGACATGTTCCTTAAGCTATTGGTTGCCAATATCTGTACCTGTTACAATCTTAAAATTATTCATATGTGTATCTGTATTTGGATAAAACTGGAAATGGGCAGGGCTTTACCTGGAAGTGTGTACAATTATAACTATAACTATGGTTTACAGCCTATCTGTTATCTTGGTTTTACAGCCCATCTATTTTTTTCATTATCACTGAACAAATATGCCTTGTAACTGATACAATAATATTTTTTATTATGATTATCAATCAATCAATTGCTGTCCATCATGTCCGACGACGAATTCCTTCGAATTAGATTTCTCCACAGAGTCCTGTTTTTTGCTTGGCAATCCCAGCTGCCTAGTGCGATCTATTTATGCTTGAGGTTTTTTTAACTGTGTCTTTGAAGCGCAGCTTTGGCCTGCCTATGCCATGGTGATAATATTAAGTAGATAATCTGTTTTGGTAGTCGACTAATTGTCCAGTTTACTCAGATGGCCAGCCCATCTCAGATTGCGCTTGATTAGTGCTTCTTATCTGTGTTGGTTTTGTCTAGTAACTCTTTGTTGAATATATGGTGCCACCATTTAATGCCTAGAATTTGTCTCAATTGTCTCATCATGTAGGCATTGAGGTTGTGTGCTTGGGTCAAATAAACTGTCATAGATTCTGCTCCATATGAAAGAGTTAGTTGAACAATTGCACGATGCCTGAGTAAAAGTGCTCACGCTTACTAATAGACACTTTGCCCAAGGCTCTGCTCACACATCACAAAGTAGCGAGCTGCCGCTTTCAAGCACCGAGGCACCCACACCTCCGGTTCAGTTTCTCAATCCCACAGAGCATGGCAATCAGAACCCGGAGACCATTCACCCCCTAGCTACACATATAAAAGCATTGGAAGCCATCCCAGGGGTTTCAGAATGGGTGCTGAGCACAGTAAGGCAGGGATATTCAGTAGAGTTCACTCGCTGTCCTCTGCGCTTTCAAGCATGGACCGCGACAAATGTGACTACAGAAGTAGTGCATCTACTCTGCACACAAATAGTGAGTTTCGTACAGTTTCTCGTACCCAAGAAGGATGGAGCCCTCAAACCCATCTTAGATCTCAGACATTTGAACTAAGTGCTTATGAAAAGACCGTTCAAAATGCTTAAGACCAGGAAAATCCTTGTGCAAGTTCGCCCGAGGGACTGGTTTATTTCTCTTGATCTAAAAGATGCTTATTTCCAGATTCAGATAATACCCCGTCACAGGCCATTCTTGAGATTCGCCTTAGATGGTCAGGTATATCAGTACACGATCCTGCCATTCGGCCTGTCTCTAGCACCTCGTACATTTACGAAGTGTATGGACGCGGCTCTCGCCCCCTTGAGAATCAGGGTTTGCGAATCATGAACTATCTGGATGACTGGCTGATTTTGGCACACTCGGAGACAGAACTGCTATCTCACAGAACTGTGCTCCTCAGTCACCTGGAAAGCTTGGGTCTCACGGTCAACTGGACCAAGAGCTTATTATTGCCCAGTCAATTTCCTTTCTAGGAATAGAACTGGAAAGATGCGGCTAGATGTTGAACACGGCGTGCGCTGTGTTCAACATCTAGCCGCATCTTTCCAGAATGGCAACAGTATCCCTCTGAAGACATTCCAGAGGATGCTGGGCTGTATGGCCTCAGCTGCAGTAGTGCTTCAGTTGGGCTTACTGCGCATGCACCCGCTTCAACAGTGGCTGAATGCTCGAGCATCTCGCCAAGCTTTGGCCTCTGGCTACGAACGAATCAGAGTGACTCAGACCTGCATTACGGCTATACAGCCCTGGTTAGCGGCCGACTGGTATCAGTGGGGAGTGGTGATGGGAGCTGTCTCATATCGAAAGGTCATCTCGACAGATGCGTCCAACTCAGGTTGAGGTGCTCTCTTCGAGGGCAGACTGGTCTTTGGCCAGTGGTCAGACCAGGAGAAGCTCATTCACATAAACTGTCTGGAAATGATAGTGTTGGAGAATTCTGCTTGTCCTATGTAGATGTGAAAGAAGCATGCTGTACATGTGAAAAAAGCGTGCATGTGATGTAATGCCAAGCAGAAAAAACTAGGGACATAGGGTACATGAGGACAGGGACAAGAGAGTGGAAAAGTACCCAAAAAATACTTGTAGCACAGATGCAGGTGTTGGGAGGCACTGGGAGAGAAACAGATTGTATACAATGTAACAATGTGCCACTGGGAAAAGCGTACTGAAACAAGGAGCCCATTGTGTAAAAAGACACTAATACAGATGTCCATTTTTTTTTAAAGAAATGATACGCATGCGCAAAGAAGGTTGCCCCAATAAAATGATGATACAGGTGTTTTTAATCTGGGAGGAGTAATAAGAAGGAGCAAAGAGAGAAATGATAACGATTCAAGCGCTAATTGGGTATTACAAGGTATAAGAATGTGTGCAGACCATTGTAAGATCAGATGGCCAGCTGGCATCTCACTTTGTTGAACTGCTCAATAAAGTTGCTTTTCTGAGACCCAAGACCTTGACTCTGAGCAATTTCTTCAAGACCTGAACCAGACTTTGATGATTTGAATTGGGACTGGAAATCTGCCACAACAATAGCGGTCGAGAAGGTGCTGAAGCGCTTCCTCACGTTCATACAGGACCTCTATGTTGTAGTCCGTTCGGACAACATATCAGTGGTGTCCTACGTGAACCGTCAGGGCAGCGTCAGATCCAGGAATCTCTGCGATCTGACAGAGCGCCTCCTCACATGGTCTCAGCATCACCTGCGCTCGCTGAGAACTGCATATGTGCCTGGCCACCTGAACAACCGCCCAGACAAATTCCAGGGACAACGTTCCCACAGGGGAATGGTCCCTGCACCCCCACACTGTAAATAATGGCATCTGTTCGGCAAAGCGGAAGTCGATCTCTCAAGCTCGTGGCTCAATCTGGCATCCCCATCCAGAGCGCTCATCTCTACATGCATGGTTGATAAACAGGTACCCATTGCCCTGCCAGAAGAAGTGATGAACACGATTACACAGTCTAGAGCTCCCTCTACCAGAAAGCTTTATGCATCTGCACCGACAAAATCTGGACCCACGGACATGTGGGGTTTCGCGGCTGCTCAGTTTCCTACAAGTGCTGTTGGATAAGGGAAGGTCCCCATCCACACTTAAAGCAGCCGGTCACTAGGCAAAAATGAGCTTGTCATCCGCTTCCTTATAGGAGGATGAACCCTCCACGCCCCCCATCGGTTCCTATGTGGGATCATTCATTGGCCCCTTAAGGCTCTGAAAGCTTTTCCCTTTGAACCACTAGATTCCATGGAGTTAAAGCATCCGTCACTCAAAACTATTTTTTTCCCCACAGTTAAACGTGTGGGGGACTTACATGCGCTGTCCGTCAGCGCTGGGTGTCTTGAGTTCGGGCCAAATGACTCGAAAGTCATCCTTAAACCTAGACATGGCTATGTTCCTAAAGTGATTGGCACTCCTTTCAGAGCGCAGGTAATTTCTCTATCGGCTCTGCCATCATCCGGTAGCGAGAGCAATGTTACTCTCCCCTGCCCAGTCAGGGCACTGAGGGTTTACACTATGCGCTCTGCCCCTTTCAGGCTCTCGGAGCAGCTTTTCGTTTCGTTTGGTGGGCGCACCAAGGGTCTCGCTGCCTCAAAACAAAGCTTGTCCAGATGGACTGTGGACGCTATAGGAGCCGCTTACACGTCAAAAGGTCTGCAATGCCTCCTGGGCATGGCCTCATCGTGGGCATTTCTGGTTGAGCTGCAACCAATATCCCTATTGGGTATGTGCTATATGCTTATAAGACCGGCGGCACCACTCTGCCATATGAGTGCTTATGTACAAGTGCTGGCCCGCATTGCTGGCCGCCTTTATTTTTCCACTGATCTGGGTTCCCCAGAAAACTCTGGGACTGATGAGTGGATGCTTGGCGAGCACGGCATTGACAAAGGAGTACCGTAGCGTAAGCTAACTTACACAATACGAGAGAACCTCTCGTGAGAGAACGTATCGGTTACCTAATGTAACCTTGGTTCTCTCTAGAAGGAGTATTGTGTAACCTGCTGTGTGACTTCGCTTCAGTCAATGAAAACCAGAGAAACAGCCTCCAATCCCTGCTTATATACACTAATAAACTGACCTGTGTGAGTATTAGTTAGTTATTTATTTATTTATCCTCACGGAAAATTGTTCTGCACCTACAGCACGCCTGATACATATATACAAAGACAATTTTACATGACAGGATACAACATTCCCTCACCCCAACCACCCCCCTCCCTCATCTCCACCACACCCCTACACATATCAGGACAAAAGACTCAAAGAAACCTAATTAAAGTGCTATTAGTGCTATTTAAAGTGCTAGATAGTGCTATGTAAAGTGCAGTCCTACAGGTAAATTCTTGTTCATCAGAGTGATGCTAGTTGGGATAAATGATTTACTGGCTCGATTTGTCTGGAAATAAGGTAACCTAAACCTTCTCCCTGATGGCAACAGCTCGTATGCCCGGTATAAGGGATGTGACGTATCTTTATTAATAGCTATACCTTTCTTCAACACTCTTCTTTCACAGGTAATAGCCATACTGTCTAGTTTATGCCCCGCAACCTTACTGGCCAGGTTAATACCGCACTTGCGGGTAGTTCGGTAGAATTAAAAGTCCTTCTTCCTTCATATCCGCGGGACTCATGTGTGGCACTGATATCTGTCTCCAATTAGCTATCGCACCCTACTTTTTCATGTTAAAAACATAAATGTATTCACTCTTCCATAAACATTATTAGATTCATCAGCTTGACGATAAGTTCCATAATTCCGCTGGAATTTTGCGTTATCAACCTACATCTTTGTTAATGTAAGAGGTTAGCGACCCCTAGCGGCGAAAAAAATATATATAGAGATTTAATGCACAAATTTCTGTTCTTACCTCTTTCTCTGTTCTCTCTGCTTCTGTTGGTACAGTGTCATGATATTTATGTCTATCCATCGTACACAATGTACAAATACAGTGCTGGTCAGTGCGACAGAAAACCTCAAGCAGTCTGCCATGATGTGAGCAGATCATCTTCTGGAGTTGTCCAGTGGCATCCATCAAATAATGTCTCTTACCTATGAAAAAAATCTCATGCTGTTCAAGGTGGTTTTGACAGTAAGAGTTCAGACAGACAAGACAGGACTTGACGGCTTCGTGTTTTCTTCCAGTACAGACGTCACACTTTACTTCTCCTGATACAGTGTCAACAGAAACTTCAGATTGTAGTTTAGTCTTCTTCAGTTTCTCCACCACTTCAGCCAGCATGGTGTTTTTATTTAAAACAGGTCTTGGAGTGAAGGTCTGTCTGCACTGTGGGCAGATGTGGACTATCTTCTGATCCTGATGGTTCCAGCAGTCCGCAATGCATGATTTACAGTAATTGTGTCCACAAGGAATGGTCACTGGATCCTTCAGAAGATCCAGACACACTGGACAGATGAACTGTTCGCGAGTCCATAAAACACTGGCTTCTGCCATATTACAGTATGGGGACACAGAAACAGAAGCACACACAACAGCTCAACAACCGTTTTTGATGAGTTTTGGTTTCACTGAACTAAAGAACTGAAATGTTTTTCCTGGTTATTTGCATACAGTGTGGTGTGCAAAAAGGTGTGTCTGTAAGGTGTGACTCACCTGTTATGTAATTCGCATATTTATTTTCCTCACACAGAAAACATTACCAGTAACATTATACAAATATTTACGGAAAACATACTGTATTTATTTGCAGGATTGTTATTTCAGTATAATTTAAATACCTTACTTTATACTTTTACCCCAAGTTTTAATAATTTTTTAAAGTGAACTGGGAAAACTGAATTAAACGCATCAAAATAATTCATGTTTAGCTTAATGATTAGCAGCAGACAAGAATGTGTGATGTAGGTGAGAAATGATTTGCATAATAATGAAAGAAAGTAAGTACCAAAAAGTGTATTATCATGTGAAATGCTGTCATGCTTAGATAACAAATACATGCGTGAATGCTTTCAAATGTAAATGAAAAAATGTTGTTTCTCTCACAGGCTACTTGTCACTTTAGCTCCACAAGCACATGCTTTAGATTTGTCATAACTTCAGGCCTATACGACCAGTTCTTCTTGCAAAACAGGTCCTTCAGAACCATTTCTGATCCACTGGCTGGCTTGCATTTTGGAAAATGGCATGCTGTATGCACATTGGGATGCAGGGTGTGACTTTCTCACCCAAAGAACCATGAAAACTGGGAGGAGTGTGTCCCTAAACTGAATTGCTTAGCTGTCATCGAAACAAATTTCAGTCCAAAAAATCAGTTTGTAAATTTATTTTATTAGAAACTGTTGATTTCCAAAGAGTAGAGCAACAGAGTCTGTGAATGACACTGTTTGTTATTTTGTCTTGCCCATAGACTGTAAAAAATATGGACGTAGTGTCCGTGACGTCACCCATAGGTTTCTGAAGAGCGATTTTGAGGCCTAAAGTGGGCGGGGCCGACCGTCGCCATCTTGGCAGTGCGTCACCTCTCGTCACTACCGGATAAATTAAAATGGGCAAAGAGGCGGGACGCGGGTGGAGCTGAGGTGCTAATGCTATGCTACTGCCGCTGAATTGACAGCTGATTGAAAAAGTAAAGCCAATGGTTAAAGTTCATGTTTTGCCCTTCGAAATATTATAATAGTTAAGACGTAACTAAAAGTGAGACTACTTGACTTTTTTATCAACTTTATTAATCTCACAAAGGGGCAATTAGTTAAGAGCATATATACAAGTACATTAACACAGATCACACATTTCTCACAACATACAAGCAGTCAACTATGTGCGCGTGTGTGCGACAGTGCGACAGTGATTCAGTGCGACAGTGATTCAAGGCAAGCACACATGTCAGTCGGCATCTCACGTCAAGTTCGTAAAGAGCTTTAATTCAGTCCATTTTACAATCCGATTTTGGCCGCCTCTCAGATGGGTCAAACCAAATATTACCTCAGAACTTCAAGTAAATGAACTAGAAATCCGCGCTCATTCAAGGGTGTGCATCTATTGCATGGACGGAGAGAACGCGCTGAAATCATCAGACATCCATTAGTGCATGAGAGGGAAACAGCTGGAAACACGGCGCTGGTTGTTCTCTCCATACTCAACACGACGGAATCCAACGGCGTGCACGGGCGAAGTTATAATACATGTATTAAATTGTATGAAATAATCCCGGAAAAGCAGAAACACAGCTGAGGGTGACGCTAACAGACAGCAGACTAACGATTAGCAGTGAAAGCGGCAGCATGAATCCACCTGTCACTCAAGTGGCCACGCCCTTAATTATGCAGAACTTTAAGGCTTAAATAAAATTTAAACAGATGAGTTGTAAAAAAATTCACCCCCCTCACAGTTGTCATGAAGGGAAAAATGAGCTCAATAGACCAAAGCCACTTTTTGCTCCAGGCTGTAAACATGTTTTTTTCTGCTGTAAAGTTGGGCATTTTAACATGGGGGAGATACAGATTTGACTCGCTTCTGCAGCCTGCCTCAAGCGGCCACTCGATAAATTGCAGTTTAATTCACTTCCGTATTGGCTTCAAGAGAGAGACGGGGAGGTTGCCGCTTGGTCTTGCCCCAGAAATTGACAAAGATTTTTTTTTATATTCAAAAAAAGAATTATATTTCACGTCACTGAGACCTAAAAACATATAGGAATACTAAAATAATCAATACATACAGTGGGTACGGAAAGTATTCAGACCCCCTTAAATTTTTCACTCTTTGTTATTTTGCAGCCATTTGCTAGAATGATCTAAGTTCGTTTTTTCCCCCTCATTATTGTACACACAGCATCCCATATTGACAGAAAAACACAGAATTGTTGACATTTTTGCACATTTATTAAAAAAGAAAAACTGAAATATCACATGGTCCTAAGTATTCAGACCATTTGCTGTGACACTCAAATATTTAACTCAGGTCCTGTCTATTTCTTCTGATCATCCTTGAGATGGTTCTACACCTGCATTTGAGTCCAGCTGTGATTATACTGATTGGACTTGATTAGGAAAGCCACACACCTATCTATATAAGACCTTACAGCTCACAGTGCATGTCAGAGCAAATGAGAATCATGAGGTCAAAGGAACTGCCTGAAGAGCTCAGACAGAATTGTGGCAAAGCACAGATCTGGCCAAGGTTACAAAATAATTTCTGCTGCACTTGGTTCCTAAGAGCACAGTGGCCTCCATAATCCTTAAATGGAAGACGTTTGGGATGACCAGAACCCTTCCTAGAGCTGGCCGTCCGGCCAAAATGAGCTATCAGGGGAGAAGAGCCTTTGTGAGAGAGGTAAAGAAGAACCCAAAGATTATTGTGGCTGAGCTCCAGAGATGCAGTCAGGAGATGGGTGAAAGTTGTAGCAAGTCAACCATCACTGCAGCAATCCACCAGTTGGGGCTTTATGGCAGAGTGGCCCGACGGAAGCCTCTCCTCAGTCAAAGTTTGCTAAAAAAAAACACATGAATGACTCCAAGATGGTGATAAATAAGATCCTCTGGTCTGATGAGGCCAAGATAGAACTTTTTGGGTATGTGTGGAGAAAACCAGGCACTGCTCATCACCTGTCCAATGCAGTCCCAACAGTGAAGTATGGTGGTGGCAGGCAGCATCATGCTGTGGGGGTGTTTTTCAGCTGCAGGGACCGGACGACTGGTTGCAATTAAGGGAATGATGAATGCGGCCAAGTACAGGGATATCCTGGACGAAAACCTTTTCCAGAGTGCTCTGGACACAGTGCAGTCTCATCCCAATATGTCATACAACTGGCGCTTTTTTTGTATGTCAACATCCACCATTTTAGGGTACCCTTATACGTCAGTTAGATGACGTTATCTAATCCTAACCCTACCTAAGACCTAAACTACCCCGTCACCTAACTGACGTTAAAAGTAAAGCGTCAGTTGGATGACGCCCCAGGATTGTCATCTAACTGACGTTAAAGCGTACCCTAAAACGGCGGATGTTGACGTATGGTCAAAAGCGTCAGTTGTATGACTTCTTGGGATGAGACTGTGTTACTCTGGACCTCAGACTGGGCCGAAGGTTCACCTTCCAACAAGACAATGAGCCTAAGCACACTGCTAAAATAACGAAGGAGTGGCTTCACAACAATCTTGAATGGCCCAGCCAGAGTCCTGACTTAAACCCAATTGAGCATCTCTGGAGAGACATGAAAATGGCTGTCCACCAACGTTTACCATCCAACCTGACAGAACTGGAGAGGATCTGCAAGGAGGAATGGCAGAGGATATCCAAATCCAGATGTGAAAAACTTGTATCTTTACCAAAAAGACTCATGGCTGTATTAGATCAAACTGAGCAAGGGTCTGAATACTTACAGTAGGACCATGTGATATTTCAGTTTTTCTTTTTTAATAAATGTGCAAAAGTGTCACCAGTTCTGTGTTTTTCTGTCAATATGGGGTGCTGTGTGTACAATAATGAGGGGAAAAATGAACTGAAATGATTTTAGCAAATGGCTGCAATATAACGAAGAGTGAACAATTTCAGGGGGTCTGACTCTGAATACTTTCCGTACTGTATTTCCAAAAATACAAAGTGCTTTCACCATAGTTCCCTAAGTCATTCTAAACTTGCTTTGTGTTTCACATTGTTCATAATTATTGCCGACTGTTGTCAAGTACAGTAGTAACCCTTTGTTGTCACATAGTCACAAGTACCAGTGAAACTGGTTTATACTCAACAGATTTTTCAGACTATAAAAGTAAGAATGAAACGGTAACTTCTACAATTGTTGTGTTTTTAGTCACTATTTGACATTTGTTCCCTTGCGGAAACAATACTGTCAACACAGTGTTTCTGTGACGATATAAAGCACGTGCATATGAGGCAACAGATGCGATTGACTGACAACCTCTAAACATAACATTCTAACATTATAATAGGAATTTTAGTCGACTAGCTGATGACCTTGTTGTCGATACTCTGAGGCTTCGAATGTTTTACATTTGTTTTTGCAGACCAATATGATGGGGTTGGGGAGAGCGGGGCCAACGTAAAACATTTTGGGTTTTGGCTCAATTATTAAAAAAAATAATTCAGTTAGATTCTTTCTCTTTTTTTACACGAGCAACATACACATCTCTGCTACAAATGAACACTTAAAGTTTTTTTCTAGGACCTACCATTTTCGTACAGTTTCACTGAAAGTGACAGAAGGTTACAACCTACCCCATATGCGGGGTTAATTGTAACAGACAGGAGTTAGTTGTAACACTTGTGTGTAAAACATTCAGTTCTATTTTTATCTGTGTAGTTTAATATTGTTTGTGAATCTTTATAGATAGATATCCATACATACATCCCTCAGCCAATCATCCTTCTATTATGGATCAATATTATGGATAGACATATGAAAGGACTGCACAGCCAGAAGAGAAAAAGAGTGGAAACACAACCTGCTTGATCCTGACTAACTATGTAAAAGATCCATGTTACATTTAACCCCGCGTTAGGTTGTGCCCTGCGCACTCCTACTTAATTTCAGTAGTAACAGCACAGGG